TTTGGTTGTTGTTTTTTTCTATATATATATCCCCCTCCTACAGGTGATACTGTGTAAAAAAATAAAATAACTATATTCTGGTCTGTGGGTTACCAGTTGTTTATGAAATATGTATTTCAACAACAAGCAACAGTTGCACTCATTAGATCTGATGAATAGAACACTAGAATAAGTGGGTAGAAACTGCACCACTGGAGACAGAGATATTGGCAGTTTTTGTGAATGGGTCTGAGCACAACCAATCACCAACCATGCGGCTGTGTATTTACATATCAGGTCCTCTCAGAGGCAGACTGAGGAGGTAGGGATTCACACAACATGGTGCACTAATATTTGTACTTCAATCGCATTGATTAGTCCTGTTATGTCATAGGGAAAAGGCACCGGCTTATAGTTGCAGAAAATGTTACACTCCATCTTCATTATGACAGGGAACTTGTTGCAAATTATGGAAACACTCCGAGCACCATAACCACTACAGTAAATTGTAGTGATCATGCTGCTAGAAATTCACATTGCTTTATGTCTTTAATATATATAAATCAAGGCGGACACCAGTGGGAGTTGTCAAATCATACTAAAATGGTTTAAGTACTTACCTTGGAATGGCCTCAGGGCATTTCTGGCATCAATTGGCTGTATATTGTATGTGGATGTATATATCTTGTGGAAACCCCTTGTTTTTTGTTTTTCTATATGCTGGGCAATAATCATACATTCTCTGCACATAAAATAGGCAACTTTTCCATACAGGAACCCATACATTCTGGGGGGAGCCATGTGTACATAAGGGCGAGTGTCCACCATCTGATTTCTCAACTGTCATCCCTCCCAGCGCGTGCACAGTGACCTTTACCGACATGCACATTCGGGGCAGCTTTATAAAATCTAATAAATAGGTCCAGCACAGATATCTTATTGACACAGTGTTTCCCTATTGATCTATATACATATTGCATTAACCAAGCAAAAGCAGCCAAAAAAAACACTTCAGGAGCTCTGACATTTTATTTATTTATATATATATATATATATATATATATATATATATATAAATTTTTCTTTCAAACTGCTTTAGTACAAATTTAAAATATTGCTGCTAAATAATAAAGGGGGAAAAAAGCAGTACTCTGCAATACTCCTTATACACTTGTTATTTTTAAATGAAAAAAGTGTATATCTTGGTTTCAGATTGGAAACCTAGGTGGTGGCCATATCCCAATGGTAGCAGAAGTTATTGATAATAAGTGACATTATCTGTAGTAAGCATGTAACAAACCCATTTTTATGACACTTTCCCCATTAAAGTTTCCTTGTCTCTTCATTCTTATCTTATGTTTCTTATTTTTTTGCTTCCTTCAATTTAGTATCCTCTTCTATATGAGTTTCAGCATCCTCTTCTATATGAGTTTCTTACCTCCTCCATGTAATGCTCCCCTATCACAACGACCATCTGATGTAAATTCCACTCCCCCGCGTTTCATTCTAGTTGTCCTCGCTTTTCCCACCATTTCCATAATTTTCCCACTTTCACACCACATCACCCTTTATCTCCCATTTCTTTTCATCTTCCAGTTCCTACAAGTTGTCATGCCGCATTTACTATCAACCCCTTCCATATCCATGCACGTTCTGTTAGGAACTATGTTTCTTAATCCATATCCCTTCGGGCAGCTATCCTTGATCCTTGCCAAACACAATTCTGAGCGGCAGTAAATACCACAGGCTCAGAAGAGATGAAAAAGCAAACCCAACACAGAAAGCTGTAACCTGCTTGCACATAGCAATGACTGGTGACATCATTTCTCTGTGAATGTGCAGCAGCTGGACAGGACAGGAGAGAGAAAGGGGGGATTTTGAGTCGAATAACAGCTGATTCCAACTGAAGATTACACAAAATGGCCGCGCACGTAGGGGAAAAGGTGTTGGAAGAAGTGTGCACAAAAAAAAGCATAGTTTACACGATTTTAGAAATAAACAAAATAAAAGTGCTTCAAACTTTAAAAAAAAAAAAAATATAAACAAACAAAATGGCTGTTATCATTTCAGTGGTTTGGCACATGTTTATTTGGCCTTACAGTAATAATGGCCCCACTGCCGGGGACACTGAGTGCTACCTCCGTAGCATTTAAGTGCTTACACCGATGCCCTGGTTTTGCAATTACAGCTGTATTCCATAAACCATGCAGTTAGTTTTTTATGAGGAACAGTATAATGCAACTTTCACATGGAATAGCTACTGTGACTAGCATCCAATTAATTGAGGTTGGGGAATTGTCACGCAAGTAAACAGTAGTCATGTTTGCATTTAATTTATTGATGCATACTTTATTCAGTTTGTGGTATATGCACATGGCAAGTGCCGCATGTGCATTAGGCCTTGCACGTAGGATGACAGCATCCAGAGGCGGCAGTCTTAGCCCTAACATGGCATGGTTAAGGGACAGGGACACTGCACCCAGACCACTTCATTGAGATTACGTGGTCTGGGTGACTATAGTCTTCCTCTAATAAGCGAAATATTAGATTAAGCTATTTCTTAATTTTCCTATTATTACATTGTTATAAATTATATATAGTGTATGACTGTTGGTATTTAAATCTTTTTTTTTCCTCTCTGTTATTTTAGGTTCCCAGCATGTTTCAAATCGAATACTATTGTGACTTACAATGGGCATCAATACTTCTGAAGATGGGAATGGTTTGAGAACTGGCACTGCTGTTGAAAATGGAGCTACTATAGTAGCTGAGTCCATTGCTATAATTATTATTGATATTCTAATATGCTTGGGAAACCTTGTCATTGTGGTAACCCTGTACAAGAAATCCTACTTGCTCTCCCTCAGCAATAAGTTTGTCTTCAGTTTGACTCTTTCAAACCTGCTTATGTCTATGTTCGTTCTTCCCTTTGTTGTCGTCAGCTCAATACTTAGGGAATGGATCTTTGGAGTAGTTTGGTGCAATTTTTCTGCACTACTGTACATGCTGATCAGTTCTGCCAGTATGCTTACTCTAGGGATTATAGCAATTGATCGGTAAGTTATATTTTTGTTTACATGTTGTATGGAGAACCTTACATGTCCCCTTCCTACATTTTTCATTAGAGTCCTCTTTTTGTTTTGTTTCTTGGGTGAGGGGGATTGGGGTACGGCCATGTTTATGGAGACATACACTTGTATGATCACTAATTCTTCCTTAAAAGGCATTCCATGAGAAGTCTCAGCCAGTTCTTGGTTTCTCCAGATATCATTGATGGATAATATCTGGTAATAGAATATTCAGGGCTTAGATGTAGGTCTTGCTCTATTTGCATATTATTTAAATCCATAGATTGAGGGATAATATCCTCATGAAGTGATGCTCATAACCACAGGTAATTATTGAAAAATAATAGCTTTATCTTTCTTATTTCAGAAGATTACATTGTTCAGCATTGTGTGATAGTCAATATACCACATGCACTCAGTTCACATTTGCGCGTGTGTGTGTGTGTGTGTGTGTATGTGTACATCCATCTATATATTTATATAATATATGTTGCTCATATTACAGCCATGTTGCCTCTTTGAACACACATACACACACTGATACATGCACACTCAAACACTCAGATGCACAAAAACACACAATGATAAACAGACACACGTTGACAAATCTGACAAACAATCAGTGTCTTTCTAGCAGTGAGTATTGGTACATGTGTGTGCGTGTCTGGCATTGTGTGTCTATGTATATGCCTGAGATTGTGTGTGGTAGTAAATATCATTGTGCATATACGAGTGTATATGTGTGTGTATCCATGACTGTGCCTAGAAGGCATATCTCTGTGTCTGGGAGTGTGTGTGGAGCAGCTGCCGGCAGTGTGTAGTCTATATGGAGAGACTGCTTGGTGCATATGTGGGAGGGGGGCGCCTGTGTATGACTGAGTGTGATTCAATAAGTGTTTGTGGGGTGAGCTTCACAGAATGATGGGGTGTGTGACATGATGACTGTTGGGAGCCAATTGTGACAAGGTGATTGGGGGGTTACATGGTGACTGTCTGGGGGTTGCGTGTTGGCACAAGTGGGTATCCCTCTATGTGGTAAAACCAATTCGAAGGGATATTTTTCTTACAATACAGGACTGATACAAAGTTTCCCTTAGAGCCATAACGAAAACAAGGTCTTTCTGTACACAGTTCAAGATGTTCTATATTGGATAACAGGTCACAGAACTATCTTAGCAATAGCTTGTCAGGTTGCTTACTATAAAGTAAACTGATCAGAACTGGCTTCCCCTTACTGCAGCAGTGAACCCGTCACAGATGTGGGTCCCACTAATGGGCCGTTCAGCTAAATACTTGTCACAATGCGCAAGTCCAGGACATCACCAGTGATGTGAGATCATTTAATGTCTAATCTCTGTTGCACATGTGCAATGCAACATTCCATTATCCCTAAGGATAGGATACCGATTAGCTGGATAAGTTTCCTTCCCGAAGTGTGTCTTGAAAGTGCATGCAAAACAGGGGGTGAGAGATCTATATATTATATTTATTTATTTATATATATATTATTTTTTTTGCCTGCTTTTTACAAAATTTAAAACTAAAGCTATTGAATAAGATGATTGTCTAAACGTGATGCATGTCCCTTTCAGTGTTTTTTGGTATATAGATCTTGTCCCTGCAGTCGTAGTGCTCCATTATCTGACATTTAGGAGTTACATCATTATATATATTTTTTTATTATTCTATACTGTCAGCACCAGCCCTGGCTGAGACTCCTTACACACTTCCTTTCTTCAGAGTGTGTTTTAATTTAGAATTGTGTTTTCTCCTCTGTTAATAGCCGGCTAGAGTTTGCAACAGCCCTGTGTATGATTAAAGTTCAATTAGCCAGGGGAGGGATGGCTAGTGATGCGCAAACAAAAATAATTTAAAGTATCTCACAAACGTGAGTACACCCCTCATGTTTTTGTAAATATTTTATTATATCTTTTCATGTGACAACACTGAAGAAATGACACTCTGCTACAATATAAAGTAGTAAGTGTACAGCCTGTATAACAGTGTAAACCAGACCTAAACCCTATTGAGCATCTGTGGGGCATCCTCAAACAGAAGGTGGGGGAGCCCGCGGTCTCTAACATCCACCAGCAACGTGATGTCATCATGGGGGAGTGGAAGAGGACTCCAGTGGCAACCTGTGAAGCTCTGGTGAACTCCATGCCCATGAGGGTTAAGGCAGTGCTGGAAAATAATTGTGGCCACACAAAATATTGACACTTTGAGCCCAATTTGGACATTTCCACTTAGGGGTGTACTCATTTTTGTTGCCAAAGTTTAGACATTAATGGCTGTGTGTTGAGTTATTTTGAGGGTACAACAATTTTACACTGTTATACAGGCTGTACACTTACTACTTTACATTGTAGCAGAGTGTCATTTTTTCAGTGTTGTCACATTAAAAGATATAATAAAATATTTACAAAAATGTGAGGGGTGTTCTCACTTTTGTGAGATACTGTAACTCCTGAATGACAGAGAATTGACCTGTGAGTCTGCAGGTGTATGATCTATACACCAAAATTACTTCTGTATGGTAAAGTTGTCTTGTGGCTTAGAGTATCCATTTTAATATTGGTCTCTCTCATCATGAAATGTGTTCTAATTTTGATGTTCTACTATGCCTTTTGCATTTTTACATTTATTTAGATTTATTTATTCTATTCTAGGTATTATGCTGTTCTTTATCCTATGGTGTATCCTATGAAGATCACTGGGAACCGAGCTGTTCTGGCCATAGCATATGTTTGGCTGCACTCTCTCATCGGATGTATACCACCTCTCTTTGGATGGTCTTCTTTAGAGTTTGATCACTTCAAGTGGATGTGTGTAGCCGCCTGGCACAAAGAGGCAGGATATACTGCGTTTTGGCAAATATGGTGTGCCTTGCTGCCATTCTTGACAATGATGATTTGCTATGGCTTTATATTTCGAGTGGCTAGGATAAAAGCACGTAAAATTCATTGTGGAACTGTTATTATTGTCCAAGATGTTTCCCAAAAGAATGGAAGAAAAAATTCCAGTACTTCTACATCCTCTTCAGGAAGCAAGAGAAATGGCTTTTCCAGTATTGTTTATTCAGCCAACCAATGTAAAGCCTTCATCACTATACTTGTTGTTATTGGTACTTTTGTTCTTACTTGGGGACCATACATGATTGTCATAAGCACTGAGGCCTTATGGGGGAAAAACAGTGTTTCTCCAATGCTGGAGACATTAGCTACCTGGCTATCGTTTACTAGTGCAGTATGCCACCCGCTTATTTATGGACTTTGGAATAAAACGGTACGCAAAGAACTCCTAAGCATGTGCTTTGGAAACCGGTATCGAGATCCATTTCATCAGCCTAGAACATCGAGAATGTTTAGCATTTCCAACCGAATAACAGGTAATGTAATACATCTTTATTGGCAACCTGTAGATCAGTGTTTCGCGTTGATCAGTAGAAGCTTTAGCTATGTGATCCTGTAACCAAGTAGTAGCTGGGATCCTCAAACAATCTTTGGGAAAGTGAACTGAGCCCATCGCAGTGCTTTCCCATAGTATTGGCTGAGACTGTCAAGGAGGCAGATCAGAGGCAGAGCCAGCACAAGTCAAACACTGCCCTGGCTAATCAGCATTTCATAGAGATGCATTGAATCAATGCATCTCAATGAGGAATGTTCAATGTCTCCATGCAGAGGGTGGAGGCCCTGAATCCCATTGCTGCACACTGTGCAGCACTGCCCTAGGAAGCACCTCTAGCAGCCATCTGAGGAGTGGCCAGTGGAGGTATCCCTAGGCTGAAATGTAAACACTGCATTTTCTCTGAAAATACAGTGTTTACTGCAAAAAGCCTGAATGGAATGATTATACTCACCAGAGCAAATACAACAAGCTGTAGTTGTTCTGGTAACTATAGTGTCCTTTTAAATATAAGAAAGTGATATTCTTTTTCATATAGTGTCTAAATCCTTATCTAAATCCGTCTTAAATGAAGAATGAGCAACCTCAACATCCAGGCAAGTGTAACATATAGAGTAGCAACATCATAACATCTATATGTTTTGTGCGCAATACACCTTAGCAATATACTTGTAGTATGAATTGATGTAAATGTAGAGGTTATGTTGGTACTGCTGTAAATGCTACACTTTACTGCACATGGGATTGGTCACTTGATAAGGAGAGCCCCTAAGTGTGAAAAAGTAAGGGACCAGTTCTTAGCCTATTAGCAGCCTGCTGCTCGGAGGCTTCCTGATTGAAGCTTCGGACTTGGAGCGGGAGTACAGGGGCAGTGCAATCAGGCACATGTTTGAAGATTTTGGGGGTAAAACTGATAATGGTTTAACCTCTTCTAGTAAGATGATGCCCAAGACCACCTCACATCACAATAACGTCATTGTAATAAAGTCATTATGGTGCCCCTTTTTAATATTTGTTTCTGTTTTTATTTTTGGCGGTCCAACTTACATTGATATTGTACGTTTCTAGAGGAGGGACATTCCATTCCACATCAGTTCACATTAGTATTATTGCAAACATTATCTTTCCCTGCACAGCACTTCTAGCAATTTAAAGGGTGGAGGGGTTTCTTTTTGTTCTTTGATCACAACATATAACCAGAAAACAAAAATACATTTTTAAACACAAGCTATTTTTTTATTGTCCCAGATATTTGCCTCCTCTTGAAACTTCCAACAATATTTATATCTGTTATGGTGGTTATTTTCTACATTTGGTATCTTATCTTGTAGTCAGGGCATATATATATATATATATATATATATAATATTTTTTCATATTTATTCTCTTTGTGTTGTTTAGCTTGTAGAATTCTTTGAAACAGTCAGTTGGTTACTCCATGGTACACACAGAATTACTGAAGCAAAACATGAAGTTTGAGGTTATTGGAGATTCTCAAAAAACACCTGTAGGGGTAGATTTTTATTCTCCTGATATTGGAAAATATGTCAAAACTCTGGAGACAATTTAATTTTAGAACGTTAGAGAAGATGCTCATAAATTTACATGGTAATTGCCCCACTTTTTGGTACACTGATCCACGAAGGCATAACATTTTTATTTTACATAGTCTGTGCTAGAGATCAGAAATGTAAACTTCATACAGTTCTGCTTTCCTCAAGTTACCCAATTTTCAAATGTTTTTTCCACCCCGTTTGCCTTTATCATATTGCAAATCTATATAAACTAAGTATTGTTTGTATTGTTAATTATGGATTGAACTTCCCCCTTTCTCCCCCATTAGATCTCGGATTGCCTCCTCATCTCACTAGTCTTATGACAGTTGGAAAAGATTCTGACCACCAAAGTACTACAACAAACACAGCCTTCAGCTACTCAAACGATTCAGGTAATTTTCTTTGTTTGATAATGTTTAGTTCAGTTCTTGACACCCAATGATCTACGGCTGTTAAAATGTATGTAGAGAGACCACACAGGTATGAACACGCTATTTAAATTTCATGGGAAAATGACCAAACCATAAAATATCTTGTATCTCTAGTTACAGAAAATATAATAAAGGAACAGTTATCTCTAGTGGTTATGGTGTCAGACGTGCCCAGGCCTCCCCACACCTAGTGAAAGAAGTCAAGCTATATTTTTTTTGAACGGTTAGACGTCTTCTTACCTGGAATTTGCAGGTGTGCTCCCTTTCCCTATTACTAAGCACAAATGTCTGCACGCTACATTGAGTCCTGTCGTGTTGCACTCATTTGGCTGAAATCATCAGCACTATAAAAGCTCTTCAGCTTGATTAGGGGCAAAATACCTAATCTGATCCGGCACGGAGGGTGAGTATTTGTCCTGCAGCTAGACCCTAATGGCATAAGGCCCTCTTTTTGTAGGATGGCATGCCCTTACACTGGGAAAGGGTTACACATGCACCAGACATCCCTTGGACATTGACAAGTCTCTCTTTACAGGCATATAATTCCTAGCATAGTGTTTCCCTATAGAAAGGAATAGCATTTATCTTTCAAACTACCTCTCTAGACAAAGTAAATATAGAAATACATGGATCAATTCTGTTTAAATTCTGGGATTCTGACTATTTACATATTTTGATCTTTTGACAGGAGGCTGTGTTTGCCTCAAGCTCTCATCTGTCACTTTACCCTGACAATGTGTCTCTTTATTCTGCTAATGGAAGAAAAATGAAAAGCTTCAGAGATTATATACAATGGAAAAGTAAATAACATTTAATAAAAGTAAAGTAAAAGTGTTTTCCTTTTAACTAAAAACAAAAAAGGAAAATTTAAATGGAGCAAAAAAAAAAGTGCAGGGGATTTTCTTTGTGTGTCTAGAATGATATTCTGTCTGTCTAATGACAATTAAACTGTTGCACACTATGCAATTGTAGGTAACATTCTAAAACAAGCATTTACTGTTTTAGTAATCGTCGTGAGGAAGCTCAGTAGTGAATAGTTTGCGTAGCCTGAAACTAGATGGCTGGTGGGGACACCTATCACCTACCAGGGATCTGAAATTTCTAATGTCATTTATTTCTTTGTTTAGAATTCAGATTTTTAATTTCTTCAGATATTGCCTGTTATCTCCTAAAGTTATGATACAAAACAAAGAGGGTACTTTATTATTGAGTTCCCCCTTTATCATATTGTAAAGCATTGTGGGATATGTTGTCGCTATATAAATGCCAGTCATAATAGATCATAGAGTAATACAGTTTGGCATTAAAATGGGGACGCTGTATAATCTGCACCCACAGACTAAGGCATTCCGACTTGTCAGACTGTTTTGAAGTTCCATGCAAGCTTTCTGGATCTAACCAGATGGATTAAGAACATGGTGAAGTGGATATCAATTCAGTCAATTGATTATTTTGTGTATCTGCCCTCGGCCAAATTAAAGAAATAGTGCGTGCACACTCCTAAAGTAATTAACACCAGACACAGGTTTCAGGTTAATGAAAAACTTGAGGAATGTTTATTCAGGGACGACGACATGTCCCTTATAAAGCAAAATTACATCATAAGCATTGTCAGAGATAACATGGAATAATACATCAATAATTGGTTAGGTGTTAAGTGATTCATTTAGTGCTCTACCTACTGAGGGTGATGTCACTAGCATCGTGGAGGTCTCCCCCAGATTCCAGCGCCATCTTGTTAATGAGGGTGTTAGTCGAGGTTGGAGGGGAAACTCCCTAGCGGCCATTTTAGGTAAATCACATATAAAGCTGGATAATACTGATTGAAGTTATACTAAGTAAATAGACATTTTACTAACATAAATTAGATTAATATTTTATGTCCACAACACGTGGCATATTTTTTTTTTTTTTTACATTTAACTTTGTCAAATCTCCAATAACATAAGATTTTATAATTCGTTTGTGTTAACCATATTTTACCATACTATCCATATATTTTTATTGCTTATCCTTTTAAGTACCAGTGCGGGTCTGTCGTCAAAACAATCTGTTGTTTATAGATCATATCCAAAATGAACTAATCCACTTAGTTATTGAGTTAAAGAATTTGTAGAGCTATAGATGACTGTTGTTTTTTGTTTTGTTTGTTTGTTTTGTTTGTTTTCAAGCTGATTAAATATCTGTTTTTCTTTTTTTTTTTAGGTACAGATGTTATGTTGCTGGATGACTACAGCTCGGACAGTACCCAGCACACTAGATCTATTTACTCTAGAAGAAAAAGTTCTGTAACATTTGAAGATGAGGTGGAACAGAAATGTGGTAAGCAATTAAATGTTACAATTTTAGAGATCGGTGTGAACAAAAAAGGATACGACTGACTTTTTGTACCTTGAACTGGTAAAAGCATTAAATAAAATAGGAAAATTCTAGCTCAGTCACATGCAATTACTGGAGTTAGAAAAAAAAAAACACACTTAAAGGAACACTGCAGTGTCAGGAATACAAACTTGTATTCCTGACACTATAGTGTTAAAAACACATTTTAGTGGCTGGCCTCCCCTTGCCGCTTTAAAAAAAAAAAAAGTATAAAACTTGCATTTATTTCATTGCTATTCCGGTCTTGCTGTGGCTGGCTATCCCCCTACTCTGCCTCCATGGCTGAGATTACCAAAATTGCCAATCCCAGCCAATCAAATGCTTTTCCATAGGAAAGCTTTGGGAGGTTATTGCGTATCTGTGACAAAATTCTGCGCTGCACAAATCAACATCTCCTAATATTGATGCTTTGAATCAGTGCATGTCTATGGGGAGCATTCAGCGGCTCCATGCAGAGCGACGCTGAACGTCATGACACAGGAAGCACCTCTATGGTCGTCTGGCCGTGACTGCCACTAGAGGTGTTCCTAGACCAGCGGTTGGCAACCTTTTTTAGTGCTGTGCCTAAACAAGATCTTGAAGTCCCTTGGTGTGCCGATCCTATTTTTTAAAATTGAGGTGTGTATGTTGCCAAATTGTTTGTGTGTTAAATCGAAGTATGTATGTTGCTGTATTCCGCTTGTGTTATTGTATGTGGACTGTTACATTGTATATGTTCATGATTGGTTTGTGATATTGTGTATGATACCTATGAATGTGGATTTTGTATGGAGGCTGCTTGTGTGTCTGGATGATATGTCACATAGTGTGTTTGGTGGTGTGTGTATGTGTGGGACTGCTTGTGGTATTGCATGTGACAGGCTGCTTTTGGGTTGTGTGTGTGTGTGTGTGTGTATATGGATTGTTAGTGGTGTGTGTGTGTGTGTGTGGATTATTTGTATGAGTTGCAGGTTTCTTCTGAAGCTCTGTGTATATCTAGCAATGTGGTTGGCTTCCCCGGGATCCAGTCTGGACTGGGCTGGTCAGGTCAAGGGCAGGAGCTCAATATTTGCTGAGAGCTGCTCTTCTGCAGTGCAGATTCCTGTTAGCAAATGCTGGGAGAAAGTGATTTGAGATCACTTCCTATATGTGCTGCAATGTGTAAATTGAGGATTGTCTCTTACCACCTGGAATCACTGCTCAGTTTGAATTAGAAGATATCTGAAGTCCTACTGGGACTCCTGTTGGGCCAGAGCTTCACACATGACCCACGTACCATAGGTTGCTGACCCCTGTTCTAGGCAGTAATGTAAACACTGCATCTTCTCTGAAAAAGCAATGTTTACATTAAAAAGCCTGCAGGGACAGGCTATACACACCAGAACAATTACATTAAGCTGTAGTTGTTCTGGCGACTGTAGTGTCCCTTTAACACACTTCTACATTTCTTTAAATTATGATATGAAAATATTGCTTATTTATTACACGATTACATAGCAGTATGCTGCTCAGCTAGGTTTTATGAGTACATCACATGTCTATGGACCAAGGGAGTTTGTTAATCCCAGCCAGTGAAGTATCTATTGGCTATTAATAGAATTGATTAATATACTTCCTGTAGCCTTTAGCCACTCAATTATTTTTGAAGTTGTTACCTTTTGAAATAGTTAAGTATGTCAGTGTTTAAAAGAAGGCGGAAAAATATGTTGCAAATATATTTTGTACTTAATGGATATACTTTAAAAAAAATTGACATATGGCAAATTAAGTGCGGAAATCATGTAGTTCAGCTTCTATTTTAAGTAAATACTCCCTTCAATTTTTATTTTATCACTATTTAATACATACACCCCCTAAGAAAATGTGCATTTTATATATAAACAGCTTGCAAAAGCTGCACACCTGCTTTGTTTATCTTTTGCAAACTCTATCCTTTATCGCCATTGATCAATCAGAGGATTCTCATTAAGAATCCTTTGTACTGGAGCTGTGTGTACACACGTGATCACAGCTTTCTAAGACGTGAAGGCAGGCACACGTTAGCCCAGCTCACCTGCCACTTCCTTTAGCTCTGTGGAGCTAACGGAAAAGGGGGTGGGAGGGTGACTCTGGCTGTCTACTTTATAGTTGGAAAGGTGTTATGGTGCTGTTACAAAAGTTCTGATTTCAATTGAACAGATTTATAAAACAATTGTAATTTCTTTTGAAATTGACACTTCTATAAACTGTCAAAAAATGTCAGACATACTTAACTGCTTTATGTATTTGGAGCATTCTTTTAGCAAGCTTTTAAATCTCATGTACAGGTATATCTTGTTCTAGCCAGGTTGCAAGTTGATTTTAATTGTGATGTGAAAGATTTCATTGTTTTTACTTATTGATTTTTATTTTTCTCCTCCCCTACAGATGTTCACCCAGTGCCAGCTGAAATCGGGGCATGTGATACCTCTTTGGAATCCTTTGCATCTAGTTTAGCCAAAGCCATTGAAATGGATGCTAAAATAAGTTTGTTTGGGGAAGACGCAATGCAAGCTTCCTCTGTACTACGAAGTACACCAGGGAACAGCAATATAAACAAAGGCAGCCGAAATCATGTTATCCCAAAGCAGAGGCTCATACTGCAAAGTATTGATGAAGGAAATCTGTAAATAGCCTGATGTGTGCTGTGTTGTATACGACTGTGCTTCTCTTCCTGTGGTACATGTACCCAGGGGGTATGTCGAGAACGGTTTAATATTGCAAGTGTTAATATTAGGAGTCCTTGTTGACTTAAAAGTTTACAATAGGAATATTTGGCTAGAATGTGTTCTGAATGTTACACTGGTTTGTGGAGAAATTGTGTTCCATTCACCAAACCTAACTGCAATGCTAAATAGCCCTAAAGTATTGTCTTAGTATAAAGTATAACATATAAGACATGGTATTCTTAAATGGAAGTGTTTCTCTACTTACAGTAATAACCACTTATCAATATAGTCACTGGGACAAGTGGAGCAAATCACTGGGATCAATTACATTGGGATCAATTTATTGTGTGCCACGTAACATGCATTTCTCATAGTGTTTATTTATATATACTGTTGTAATCAAAATTATTCAATCGCCAGACTTTCAGCTGTTTGCAATGAACACATCAAACAAAAGCAATTAAAATAGCTCAACACAACCAATGATTCAAGTGGTTTCCGCAAATTCAACTGAAAATGCAACTTCATCAATCTCAAATTATTCAACCCCTTCATGGCAAGCATATTTTGTACCTAGTAGAGCAGCTTTTTGTTGTTATGACCTGCTGCAAACAAGATGCATAGCCAGAAACCAGCTTCTGGCAGCATTCTTGAGTAATCTTAGCCCATTGTTCATGAGCAATGGCCTCCAGTTTGATTATATTCTTGGGATTGCGTGCTGCATCTGCCGCCTTAATATCCCACCAGAAATTCGGTTTCAAGTCAGGTGACTTGGCCACTGTAGAATTTTCCAAGACTTTTTTTTGTTGGAAGGTCCAATGACGCTTATGTTTCAGCTTCCTCACTGATGGCATGACGTTTTCTCATAGGATTTCCTGATACTTCAATAAATCCATCTTGCCTTTTACACGCTGCAGGTTTCCAGTGCCAGAGGATGCAAAATTTATGCTTCATTCTTCTTCTTCCTGACATACCTCTGATCCATTGGGCTGAAAAGTTCGTTTTATTTTATCACTCCACAGAACAGAATCCTTAAAATTCTGTGGCTTCTTTATATGATTTTGAGCAAATTGGAGCTGACTTTTCCAGTGCTTTTGTTTAAATAGTGGTGTATGTCTTGGAGTTCTGACATGGAAAACCTTCTGCGTTTTAGTACGCACCGTACTGAGCTCACTGATATCTCAGTGGTTGTTGTCAGCAAGTCTTGCTGCAGGTCTTTTGCAGTCACTCACAGGTTTTTTACAACCTGCCCTCTGAGAAATCTGGTTACAGAGGAAGACATCAATGGCTGTATGCCCCATCTGGGTAGTGTAACCATTGTTTCTTCATCTTTGAACTTGCTAACTATGCTTCCAAAGATGTCTATCTTTTTGCATCCCGTTCCTTGTTTGTGAAGGGCGATGATCTCTTAATCTCTTCTCTTAACTTTGTGAACCATTATTTTAGTCATATTTCTAACATGCAGTTAAAGGTGACACTCAACAAACCCCTAGACAGTTCAGGTATCTCAAGTGTTCCTGCTCAAGCACACGTGGTGCAACTAATGAAGCCCTTCATGAGTTGTATCAGGTGTGCTTGAGATAACTGTTTTGCATATTTGTGCTGTTTTGAGGGATTCCATTCAGGGGGGTTGAATAATTTTAAGGCTGGAGAAGTCTTTGTAAGTTGCATTTTTAGTTGCATTTAGGGAATCCATTGAATCATTCATTGTGTTGAGCTATTTCTTTGCTTTTGTTTGATTTGTTCATTGCAAACCTGTAAATTCTGCAAATTTTGATGATAAACCTGGTTATCAATGAGGGTTGAATAACTTTGATTGCAACTGTATATCCTATATATCAGTCACTACAAATGCTATTGTTCAAATTGTTTTGAAAGTGTTACTTATCGTGTTTTGATTGACATAGGAAAGGTGTGATAATCCAGTACTGTGTACTGCAATCATTTATTGTATAAACTCACCGTGCACAATGCTAAAGTGGATTACAATTTAAAACATTGTACAATGCCTATAATGCAGACATATGTTTACTTATTTATTGTTCTACTTTTTTTTTATATATTTTTTTTTAATGGAAAAGACTGACTTGCCTTAATTTGTTTTCTTCTACCAAATGTGCTTTGGACCACATTTTCTAAATTTGATTTCTTTGTATGAATATATCTGTATTCAGCAAGTGGTACTGTACAACTGCAAATTCCTTTTTTTATGTTTTAGTTCTGCATGCATGTTTTTTTAAAATAGATTTGATTTTTTTATATTTTTTCTTATGCAATTTCTTTTTTTTTAAAAATTTTTGTACTATTTTTAGAATTTTGGCAGTAAAAAAAATCCAAGCTGTCTGGTGTGGTGTGTGTTTTTTTTTTTTTTTTTTTTTTTTTTTTTTTTTTTTTTTTTTTTTTTTTTTTTTTTTTTCTCTGTGAAATCAAGGTGTGCCATTTAATTGCTTACTTCTTTCTCTGGCTTTTACATTCACGTTACTAAATAGTTCACAAGAAACAACTGGTGTTTAGAGGAATATTACCAGTAAACAAAAAGTAGGTTGAGCACACAATTCTTCTCTATCGTCTGATGTTACGAAGGCTATAGGAAACAAAAAAAAACACGGAGAGAAAATAGTGCAGATGGTACAACTAGTTTTGAGATATACAGTATGTGTATTTATTACACTCACACAAGAAGAGCTAGTTTAGGCACTGGGCTCTAGTGTAGAAAGCAACAGGATAAGTAAGGGCAATCTATATCAGATTTAGATTCTACATAACGAGAAATGGCTACATAGTATAATGTATGTATATTTGTGTGTGTGTGTGTGTGTGTGTGTGTGTGTGTGTGTGTATGTATATATATAATATATATATATATATGTGTGTATATATATATATATATATATATGTGTGTGTGTATGTATAAAATTAAAATTGTGTGTGTGTGTGTGTGTGTATGTATGTGTGTGTGTGTGTATGTGTAATATATATATATATATATCTCTCATTTTAATTTTATACATATACATACACACATATATAATTTTAACCGGGCTGATCCTAGGATCACAGGCGTCTGGGTGCAGACATTTTTTGGGGGCCCCCAGGTGGGCGTTGTCATCTTTCTAACCCCTCCCCTTTGCAATGACTCAACCTCTCCATCTAGACTCACTCACTGACAGTCACACACTCTCACTGAGAGGCACACACACACTCAATGATGTGTCACACATTGTCAGAAAGATACTCAGACAGAAACATTGACACACACTCTCAATGACCGATACACAATCTCACCGATTTGAAATACTCACTGACAGATGCATAGTGGTACACAAAACAAGGAAGTCCAGCACTCAGCGTTTTAAATCACAACATACATAATCACACACACACACACTGCCTCATGCATACCTAGACAGTCACACACAATACAATACACCCACATTCACACTGTCATATCGACACTGTATCAGTCACATACACTCTACAGTGTCACATATACACAGTCCTTGCTGTCATGAACACTGCGAGGAGGAAAGGAGGCCAGGGTCCCCTGTGTCTAGTGGGAGGCAGGTATTCATTTCTGCTTTCCCTCTGCAGCAGCAGTTCTAGACTTGGTGACGCCCTGTTAAACATTTATCTCTATAAACTCATTTGTATAAATGACTTTTTCAATGCAAAGCTTCTATGTAAAATAGTTTTCTTTATTTCAGATGCTGTATATGTACAGTGATGTATGCACCCCATACACAAATTAACACATACATATAAATCCACAGATCATATATCCTACATACATAGACATGTGCACACTCACATATAGACACACACTGTCACATACAGAGGCACATACCAATATACACAGTCACATACATACATACATACATACATACCGGGTAATTCACAAAAATAAGAATTGTCAGGAATTCATAATGGATTTCAAAGTGGATGACAGAATAGTCAAACTGGAAGCATTGTATACCTGACAATTGTGTTAGTGAATAACCTTGTGAGACATGAATTATCACACACCATCACTATCATCACAGACACACCAAAACACAGTCACAGACATACACGCATTAACACAATTACGAACATTCATAAAAAACCAAACAAAACACAAAGGCACATAAAGACACAACACACTCAGTCACATAGACACAGGCTTATGTATAGCAGGTTGGTTGGTAGGTTAACTGAATTGGTGTTCACGTGGGTTGTGACGGTAGGTAGGTAGTTACTCAGCAGAGTATTGCTGGTGTAACACCACCTACACTTAGCAGCTCATTTGCCAGCTACAGACTGGGGGAGTTTCTAGGGCTGGGAGGTTTTCACGGCTGCATTCTAAAGCAGTCACTCACTCTCCTGAGCCCTACTATGTTCCAAGCTGTGACACTCTTCCCTGCAGCACCTCACTCATTCTAGTGCTTGGTCTCAAATGCCCCCTCAATTGACCTTGGTGGTCCAGTGGTATCCTATATCCGTTGGCTGGCAGTCTGGTGGTGAATAGCAGGAAGCGCACGTCATGTTGTTTCAGATCATAATACACACTCCTTCATGGCTCCGGCTTTCAATGTTGTCATAGCGTAGGCTGAGAATCTCTGAGACTGTTCTCTAACTAACTGAGCTCCGGAACCACGAAGGAGAGGATATAATCTGACTGCACCTATGCCTGGTGCACACCAATGGACTAGCAGGGAATCGTTTAAATTTAATATGCTGTTGTCTCCAACTTGCGAGCTGTGTTGGCCGCCGGGCTCCACTGTTGTCATGGCACCCTGCGTAACTGCACAGCTGGCCCACCCCAAAGACTGGTCCTACTGACAGACACACAAACCCTGACAGACACACAAACTCACTGACAGAAAACCACTTACTTGACAGACTTATTGACACACACACACACAAACACTGGCATACACTTACTGATGGGGACACACACACACAGGCAGATATGTTTACTGACAAACACACTCACTGACAGACATACACACTGTGAGGATATTTATGGGGATTAATTATTAATTTTCATTAATGAAAAATATTTTCATAAAAATTATCTTTATTAAAATATGAGGGGTTAATATTTTATTGGCGCTATTCTCATTTATTATTTAAACCGAAGAGTTACTCACTATTTTAACTCTTTAGATCTGGAGTACGTTGTTCAAATTTAATATTTCATAAATTAACATCACAACTTTTTATAAAAAGTATATATTTTTTTGTTAAGTGTAATTATACATTAAATTTGTCAACAGTTTTTCAATAATATTGAACAAGAAATGGCATAGTACAGTATCACAATCTCAGTAACAATTTCAAACTCTTTAGAGTGATAGGATTGTAAGGTTCATGATAAATTCAACCAACCGGGTTAGAATATGGAATATGTTCTTCGTACACTATTGATTGAGACAATCAGCAATTTGACTGTTACTATTTGTTAAATTATAAGGAACCATATGAGTTTATTAGCATATGGATTATTATAATTTAAAGACAGAATTCTTCAGAATCTTAAAAAAAAAATCTTAGCTTTTTACTTCTTAGTACAATTTACAAACACATGCGGATTGTTTGCTTATTGTAAACACCATTCATTAGACTTAGCTGGACAGAGCTCGTTATTTACTAGGACAATGTTTTACAAGCTAGCACAGAATGTTAACCAGCTCAGTGCTGTTTCAGAGTAATTAATTATGATTAATTAATTAATCCAGTAACTAAATTCTTGCAGGTTTAGTTAAAACAGTTCTTATCTGATAAATATTTCCTGGGTTGTTATAGGATTAATATTTCTCTGGGTAACTGTTATGTTTTTTTTTTTTTTATGATTTTGATTAATATTCCAGTCTGCAGTTTGAGATATCGATTTTTATCATGAGCTATCTTGAAACCCAATCTGGCGGATTTCGTATCAGCTTTTACTCAGAAAATATTAGATTTTAATTATGTAATATTTTAATTAGTATAATTGGCTTATATTTACCAATAGATGTTCTGGGTTTTATTTTTAAGATTGTTTCAAGATGTCTTCTTGTCCATCTTTTGTCTTGTGTCCTATCTACTTTCTCCTTATGTGTGTCCCTCTTTTCTCCTTCTGTCTATCTCTTCTGTGTGTCTATCATGAGGTTATATGTCATTCCTTATCTGTTAACCTTCTGACCTGGTCCAATGAAATTTTGGGGCAAGTCATTATGTTAATGGATGTTTATGTCATTTTGATATATATTTCTATATGTCTTAAACAGCAGGTGGAGCTGTTGTCTACATCAGGAATGTTACCAGCTATTATCATATAGGGTTGATTCTTGTTCAGGACAATTTAGGAATGTTTAAGTACAAGATGCTTTGGTCACCAATAAGCCAATGTGCCCTTGCTAAACCCAAGCATTATGGCAATTTCAGGATATTTAAGCTGTCTAACTTAATCTATCTCTATTGATTACATCCTTATATGTATATGGTTTCTATATGTAAATTGCTAACAGGTTAGATCACACTATATTTATATATTTATATATAATAAACTTAATTTATATAGCTTATTGCGATATATGTGTGTTTGCTGAAAACGTACTTTTAATTAACACGTACTTGTCTTATCTGTGTTCTTATCTTTTATTGAAACAGATGTATTTACTCACTGTCTGGCACTTTTATCTGACAGGGTCATACTTTGAGAAAAAACATCTTGTTTCTTCATTTTAGCACCTCATGACATACTAGCTAAATTGCGTTTTTGCTATTATGCATGTATTTTTTATCACACGATATATATGTATTTTCTTCCTACACAATATCTCTGACAACACACACACACTTACAGAAACATACTTAATGATAGACACATACACACTTACACAATCTTGCACACACACTCACAAATTCATTGTATTGTTTGATGCTCCTACCTTTAGGAGTCTTCAGGGTCCTCTCCCTGGGGCCAGTGACTTTCATGATCTTCCTGCTCCCTCGCACTGTTTAGTGATGCAGGGCCGGAATTACCACAGAGGGCGCGCGAGGAAGCAGGAAGATCATCAGCACAGGCAGTGCTCCTTGGCCGGTGCCTGACTCCTTCCTCACCCAGCTGGTATATTGCTGCACAGTAGGCACCTGCCATCAGGGCCGGCCTTAGGCCATTAGGAGTCCTGTGCGAAAAGTCTTCATGGCGCCCCCCCTCCCCACCTAGTTGCCTGTATACAGTCACAGGCACAGGCAGACAGTCACACACACACGCGGTTACAGGCAGACAGTCACACATGCTCAGTTACAGCCAGACAGTCACAGAGCCAAACACACAGTTAAAGGCAGACAGTCACACACAGTTACAGGCAGACATTCACACATACTCAATTACAAGCAGACAGTCATACACACTCTGCTACAGGCATGCAGACACTCACGTACGCTGATAGGCACACACACTCAGTTAAAGGCAGATAGTCACACATACAGGCACAGGCACACAACGGCACAGCTACAGCGACACACGCAATTGGAGTCACACACAGTCAGACAGTCACACACACACACAGGCAGACTGTCACACACACAGACAGAGTGTCACACACACACACATACACACAGAGGAAGGCAGTCACACAGACAGTCACATACAGGCCGGCAGACAGTCTCTCACACACACACACACAGAGGCAGGCAGTTACACACACCCAGGCAAACAGTCACACACAGGCAGTCAGAGAGTCACAGACAGACAGTCACACACAGGCAAACAGTCACACACAGGAGAAGTCACAGTCACACACACAGACTTACCTCTTTCCATTATGGCTGGAAGGTGGAATGGATGCAGTTGGTTGTTGGGGAAGCAGGGACTCCTTCCTTCTTCCTGTGCAGCAGTTACCAGGGGCTTCGGGTAGATATTAGCCCCGCCTCTGCATAACGCTAAGCACTGCCCTGCCACTCGTTAAGCCCCGCTCATCTGAACATGCATAAATAGGGTGTTGCTGGGGCCAATAAAATTGAATAAAATCTGTGAGCTTTGAAGTTGCTTTTTAGTGGATGAGTGAGTGCGCTGGATCTTGTGTAATATGTATATATGTATCAAGGAACGTGCACTCACAGGACTTTGTAAATAAATCTTAAAGTTTTATTGTGCAATTATACACCAGAATATGTGTTGACCTTGCAGTCCTCTATGGGACTTTTCTCAAGACCTTTCTTGATACTTAATACTAATTTTGGCATAAGTGATTTGCACCCAGGCAAGGATAAGACCGGGAGAGTGAGTGCTGGATCCATGTGCATTTATATATATATATATATATATATATATATATATTGTGATAAAGTGAAGGCAGATAGGCCTTTTAACCCCAGGGGGAGTATGTGTAGGATGTGTTGTAGGCAACACAAAACACTGTTTAGTTATGGGCCCCTGGGGTGGAGCATTTGGAGAGAAGGGTGGGCCAATGCTCCACTCCACAGTTTAGTGGTTTTCTGGGGAGACATAGATCCAGGCCAGGGTTTTTTGGACCGTCTCCAACCCACTGCTCAGCTGCAGTTAATGAGCTATTGCAGTGGGAATAAACCCCTCCCGGCTAGGCAGGGGATCCAGCACTCACTCCTCCCAGGAAGCAGGTAGGAGAGAGGCTGTTCTCTCCATATAGAGAGTCAAGGAGACTAGGCACTGGGAGTGCAGAAAGGAAGCAGTCAAGGCTGGCTTGGAGCACTGGGAGTGCAGAAAGGAAAGCAGTCAGGGCAAGGCTGGCTTGGAGCACTGGGAGTTCAGAAAGGAAAGCAGTCAGGGCAAGGATGGCTTGGAGCACTGGGAGTGCAGAAAGGAAAGCAACAGGCTTGCTAGCAGAGTGTTGCTATCTAATAAGGTTGGTGCAATATTGTTTTGTTTAGTTTAACCCTGAGAGATAGGGAACCTAATGTCAGTTAGTGCTCAGACGAGCTAGGTTTTTGTTTATAGGGTTTTCTGTTACATTTATGTTTTCATTTACTGCTGTATCCTGTGTGGATTTTCAAATAAAGTGCCTGGAGTATATGCAATTACAAGGACTGTGCATGTTTTTGCCCTAGAGGACCGTGCTACCTGCTGACAAGGATCACAATATGGTGGAGAATGCGGGCACAGTAGCACAGTGCGGGTCTGTGGGTGTGCCAGTCATTCGGTAGTCTGCTTGAGGACTTTTTATTTTTGCAGACCTGTTTAAAAAATAGGCAGCACTGTACCTTTAAGACTGTTACCTGCTTGGTGCTATAATGGAGGACCTGCTGAAGGTTGTGGTACAGACAATCACTAAACAACAAGACACAAACCGTTTATTGGCTGTGCAGGTTGAGAAGCTAAGGGACGCTCAGCAGGAGAATAGAGCTGCCCTTACTAAGGTTTTGCAGATTGCCCCCTGCAGGGAGCATGGGGACAAGGGACCTAGTAACCAAGCTACTGACATCCTGCATAAGGTGACAGAGGCAGTAGAGGAAGTCTTTAGCAAGCTGAAAAGCATGGAGGCAGCAAAGCGTGATGTTGAGAAACACGCAGAAGAGAGAGAACAGGAATTAGAAGGCAAGAAGGATGAAATTGAGCCTAAAAGTAGTGATAAAGAGGTCTTTGAAAAAGAGTTGGTGGTAAGCAAAAACCACGCAGAAGGTGTAAGTAAAGCTAGTGGATACAGCCAGGGAAAGAAAAATGAAGCAGAAGCCCCTGATGTACATCCAAGTGAACAAGTCAAAGGCATGAAAAGCAGACTGACTTGGGGAGTCAGAGAAGACAACAGTAAAGGAGCTGAGCAAAATGAAGAGAAGCAAAGCACTCCAGTTGAGTATAACAATGTGGTGCGCTGTTTAGTAGCAGAGGCTACCCAAAAATGACAACCAGCTGTTGGACAGTTTGGCAGAGAAGTAGTGGCAAAACAAAGTCAAAATAAGAAAGGCAAAGTAGCCGCTTCTGATCTAAGCCAAGAGAGAGCGACAGTTACAGAACCAAGCTGTGATGATAAGATGGGCACGTCCGCAGCTAAGCCAGACCAAGGCGAACGTCACAAAGTAGGTGACATTGGCATAGCAGAATTAAATATTTCAGACACACCTGGTATAGCTACAAAGACTTTGAATGATTGTTCGGGAGCCGTAGAACTGGAACTGCTGGCAAAAACTACTCCTACACGGCCTGGGCGCACTGACTACCTGGAACAGCTGCCAGACCCTGGGAGCACAATCATGGAATTAAAGGTGGAACTCGGAATGCCTGACCGGCTGTTTGATACCAGGGCTGTCATGACCCAGCCAGAGGCCATGACTGCGTCTCTGGACAACCCCGAGGGAGCAGGGAGACTGCCAGACGGCCCAGAGGAAAGCATTTCTGACAGTGAGAGGTGGCCACTCAAGGCAGAGCATTCGGAGGATACCCCTGGGGAGGAAGCCAGGCAAAGGAGAGATGGGCTAAGCCGGGAGTCTGGGCCTCCGGCAGAAGAACAGCACTACATACCAGGCCAGGCTGAGCATGATGGGATGGAGCTGGGATCAAAGACTGCATTCATGCAGGAGGAAGTTGCTCTAAACAGCCTCCCTGGCCAACCCCCTGAGGATATAGAGATGAGACCTGTCGCATTAACCGTAGAAAGCAAGGAAGGTTCCCAGGGATTCACAGAACAGATGGAGGATGTTGTGGAGCCCTTCATGGAGGGACCTGTTCCAGTGGAGGATGAGCTGGTGACAGAACCAGGTCTTGAAGAGGTTGAGCACCCAGACAATTCAGCTCATGAAGGAATCATAAGTGATATACGTATAAATGATATAGAAAAGTTAGTTACACGCAAAGCCTTTGTTAAGTTTGCATTGGGAAGTAACTTGGATATTGAAAGATTATCAAACCAGAAGTTGCTGTGGATGTGGAAGCGGATGATGATTGAGAGGAACTTGGCTGCTAAGGAGCCACACAGTATTGAGCCTCAGCCTAGATCTGCTAGCAACCAAATAAGCGGGGAAACTGGAAAGAAAGGACAAAACCTGATACTGAGTCTGGGACAATATAACTATGATGGTAGAACGTACCCAAAAGTCCCATTACAGCTACGAGACCAGACTGAGAAACTCAGATGCTTCAACTGCCACATGCAAGGACATATTGCATATAACTGTCCTGAGAGTGAAGAGCCAGTACAATGTGACATAGGAATAAGGGCTCTGCATAGGATAGTATTGACTTGCTTAAAGATGTGTATGGTGACTGGTGGTGGTGTTACAGCACAGCTAAAAGTGGTGATGGTGGTAGGGAAGAGTGCACAAGCACTGATAGATTCAGGGAGTGAGGTTACTTTGATGAAAAGTGTTCTGTTCCTGCCAGAGTATGCAGCTGCCTACCTTGATGTGGTGTTTCACAAGGTTGACTGCGTAGCACACCTGATGAAGGTCCGGTTAGTTGTGAATAATGTAAAGGCTGCCGGTTTGACCGCTAACACTAACTATTTGGGTTATCCTATTGGGTGGGGGCTCCTTAAACTGCAAGGTAGCCGCTATCTACAATAGGCCACTTCCTGTAACTGAGAAGCTAGTCAGGGCTGGTAGAGCCCTAGGTGTTATGAATGTTCACGGTTTGTGTTCTAAGGCCGCTCGACCCGATGGGTCTGAGCTGGGGAGGAGGATATGTGATAAAGTGAAGGCAGATAGGCCTTTTAACCCCAGGGGGAGTATGTGTAGGATGTGTTGTAGGCAACACAAAACACTGTTTAGTTATGGGCCCCTGGGGTGGAGCATTTGGAGAGAAGGGTGGGCCAATGCTCCACTCCACAGTTTAGTGGTTTTCTGGGGAGACATAGATCCAGGCCAGGGTTTTTTGGACCGTCTCCAACCCACTGCTCAGCTGCAGTTAATGAGCTGTTGCAGTGGGAATAAACCCCTCCCTGCTAGGCAGGTAAAGGAGAGGGATTGCTGGCTTCCTCCCAGGAAGCAGGTAGGAGAGAGGCTGTTCTCTCCATATAGAGAGTCAAGGAGACTAGGCACTGGGAGTGCAGAAAGGAAGCAGTCAAGGCTGGCTTGGAGCACTGGGAGTGCAGAAAGGAAAGCAGTCAGGGCAAGGCTGGCTTGGAGCACTGGGAGTGCAGAAAGGAAAGCAGTCAGGGCAAGGCTGGCTTGGAGCACTGGGAGTGCAGAAAGGAAAGCAACAGGCTTGCTAGCAGAGTGTTGCTATCTAATAAGGTTGGTGCAATATTGTTTTGTTTAGTTTAACCCTGAGAGATAGGGAACCTAATGTCAGTTAGTGCTCAGACGAGCTAGGTTTTTGTTTATAGGGTTTTCTGTTACATTTATGTTTTCATTTACTGCTGTATCCTGTGTGGATTTTCAAATAAAGTGCCTGGAGTATATGCAATTACAAGGACTGTGCATGTTTTTGCCCTAGAGGACCGTGCTACCTGCTGACAAGGATCACAATATAAATATATATATTATACACAAACCCGATACTCACATTGTTATTAGTCTGGTGAAGCTGGCTTAACCCTGTAAGGGCTGATGTAGTTAAAGGAGTAAAATATACTCCAAAGAACATGATGTCCACAGGTTAAAAGAAAAAGGTAAAAATGTATTGAAAAGTAAATTAAAAAATGGTCATGAATAAATAAAATAATTAAAGTGTCCAAAACTCATTTTGCAATTATGGCTTCCTCCGTTGGAATGGTTATGGATATTATCCTTCCTCTTTTTTGAACAATGTGGCTCAACTGTTTTTAATTCCGGTCCGCCTAATTAATGCATATTGCTTTCCACAGATCTTGCATAAGTGTGATTTCTATCCATATCTTTTCCTCAGATGCTTCTACTTCCAGATTTGAAATAGTTTTCTTGTGTGTGGACATCACTGGAATGCAGCCAGCGTTCCATGGATACTTAATTTCCAATTTGTTATTCTACCTATGGGTATTTATGGGCTGCATCTTACACGGCTTCTACATTCCCACTGCATTTCATATGTGTCTGGGATTAGTTTTGTAGGTACAGAGTCCACAAATTATTAAATTAGAAATACACCTTTCATAAATTTTAAATTATTTAAATACCTGTAATATTCTATACACTTGAATCACAGACTGTAATTCCACATCTTTGCTTAGAAAAATTTAAATAATATAAAGGGAGGTAAAAGGGGGGTAAACATTTATATCAAACATTTGTAGGTTATATTTCTGATCTTATTAAAAGTTAAATGTATGACACTGCAATCCAACATAGAAACATTGAATGTGACGACAGATAAGAACCATTTGGCCCATCTAATCTCCCCAATTTTCTTAATACGTTCATTAGACCTTGGCCTTATCTTATTGCTAGGATAGCCTTATGCCTATCCCACACAAAACTGAATAAATGTTCCTATCCTATTGAGTCCATGTGGAGTTAAATTATTAAAGTTAAAAATGAATTTAATCTCTTCCATTGTTATAATCACTGCCCCTCCAATTTCTTCTTACTGTTTTTTAAATATTTCTAAAATGTTCCAAAACTCTAATATGGAGGCATCTTATGTGACAAACTGCCATTTGCCACTGACTTTCTATGTGCCAAACTGCTCTACTCCCCTGGCTTATGGAGAAGCCTGCTTGCCAGCCTCTTGCCACATGACTATGGCCCTGGGGTTTATGGCCCTTTAAAACCATTACTTGGTCTTATACACTTTTATTTGGACTAGTGCTGGCCCTTTAAAAACAGTGTATGGACATATTGAAACTTTTGGGACACTTTTTCTGCCCCTTTGAATCCATGTGAAGGTGTGCCTCTTCCCCCTCCCCCTGTCCCATTGTTCTCCAGCAAGGCGTTGTCCCAGGGACACTGCCAGACCTGTTGGAACTGGCTGCTTTGTCCCTCCTCAGTCAAAATATGACTTCCACCTCTCTCCTGAACCACTTAACCGATTCAAGTGAATTTTGGATATGTTTGTCCCCAAATTATGCTGGTTATAAAAATATTTATTGATATTGTATGTAAACTCACAAAGTTACAAAAATGGCATAAAAGTAAGTTTTTTAGCTTGGAGATAATTGAGTTGATACAGTAATTATCTCCCAAGCAGAGGGGAGGATTCTCATTGTAAAAAGTGGGTGTGCTTATCCATGTGCCTTTATTTTATTGGTTGTTAAATTTACAGTTCCAGTGCCCCACAAGGTCCACGTGAGTGGTAACCTTGCTGGGAAAATTGTATATAAGCAGGAATAAACGCTCATTGGAATCAGTTCTACTTCACCCTCAATTTGGAGTCCTGTCTCTTATTGGGGAAATCTGCTACAAGGGATTGCCATGCTCTTCATATTCCCTTGCTATAATCATCACTAAGCTCTTATAAGAGCTTGTGCCTGGTTTGCTCTCTGAATGTGTCTACGGTGGTTATGGTGTCTGCTGGAGTGCTTAGAGCCCTCAGGAAGCACTAGGAGCATCCTTCAACGGAGGTACCCAGTCGGGGTGCCCGTTGATCTGCTACATAATGGTTTGTCCAATATGCAAAAGACCACATGGACATTTTAAAGCATAAATTACACCTTTAGAGAAACCTCAATTGATCTTTAATTCAAAATGTTTTGCTTATATGTTCTTCCATATTGGTTATATGTATTTTAAAGCGTGTGGTTTCTCTACATGCCAAACAAAGGCTACATCCCAAAAATCGTTTGCTTTGATTTAAATTAAAAAAAAAATTGCTTTTATCTTATTAATATTACTTTGTATTAAAACTTTTTTATACTTTTGGAACCTCTATAAACTATTTGTTTATTTTATTTGATATTTTTTGTTGAATAGCTCTCCACATTTTAATGTGATTTCCATGAAAATTACAAATTAACAAACTATCCTGTGTGTGTTTTGTGTCTATTTTCTCTTTCATGTAAAGGTCCTTTCATGGAATTTTTCTAAACTTTCCAACAGCTTATTTTTTTCTTTTTTTTTCATTCTTTGTTTTAGTAGTGCATAAGTAGACATACACGTTTACTTGGACATTTTGGCTAAAGCATAAATGGCAATAAGGTTACACATATAAGATGTCAAAAATGCTACACTTTGTTAAATAAAACGAAAACTAATAAAGCAAGTTAAACGAATGTGAGACAGTTCAGGAAGTCTTATGGATTGCAATAGAGGATATCTGACTACATGAGGGAGGGGTACGTATTACTAACTGGGCTCATAATGCAGAGAAACAGGTAAAATAAATGAGTGAGAGAGCACAGGAGAGAACAAAAGCAAAAAAGAACATTAAACATCTGCTGAATATTGGTATAAACATTAGCAAGGGGTGCTCTGCCCTAGCAAATGACTCCACATGAGCTGCCTACTCAGCCTATCCCCATTGCGACAATACAGAGTCCGGTGTAGGTGATAGGAGTCTCTGTCATGTTGTACTGCATCCCTCCAGCATCCTGGCAATAACAGGAAACTGCACCCATTTTCTACAGGCCTCTCTCCTCACATGATGACTTGGTAGCCCTAGTTGCATTGTACTTTTCTGGAGCGTGGTTTGCACACGGTTACAAGGATCGTCATGGGTTCCTTATCTGGGGTGGATTTTCCTTGCTGAAATTGTGCCCTAAAGCTCTGTCACTGAAGCAGGCAGTGTAGATTGCTTCTTCCTCTTTTCCCCAATTTCCCCCAGAATCGCTGGCATATGGCGTCAAATGCCCTCTGAATGGTTACTTCCCATGAGCTGGTTGTAGCTTGGGCCCCATGTGTTAGAGCTCTGTCACCGTCGGCTATATTGAGGGGATCGTGTGGGAGCCCAGAGCAGTACGGTGAGTAAATTCTTGCTTGGTGGGGACCGGAATAACCCGCACCGGCCCAGAGAAGGGGGAGTACGGGGCTACGCCGTGCAATTTCGGACAGAGAGCCCAACCGCTTCTCCTACTGTGGGGATGCACAAGGCCGAAACAACTCAGCAGGAGTAGTTGGCCCCAGATTAAGCTAGAACATTACCCACGAGGTGCCCAACTTGTGTGTCAATAGCAGAGAGACGAATAATAAGGTTATTATGTCCCCTAAAACTCTTTAAAATCAAAGTTTGTCAAGAGCTCGAGCCGGCTGTGTCCACTCATTATGGCGGTCAAGCCCTGTTCCCCCCCCTCCCCCTCACCCTTCGAAAGTTTTTTTTAGAGTATCTTTGCGATAGCCTTTTTCAATAAATTGATCTTTATTCCTATTGGCTTACTTATATATTCTGATGTTTCTGCGCAATTTCTTTAATCTTTTCTGATTTTAAGGAATTGACTCAGCTAACCAAGGTGTATGATGACACCTAGTACTTTTAAAATAACTGTTTGTTTCTATGGGTTTAAAATTTTCTTTTTTCTTTTTTTTTATGCTTCCATTTTGTATGTAAATATTTAAATCCAAAAAATTGATTACCATTGCCTTGCAGTAGATGTCGATATAATTCCCCAATTATTATCATTCAAATGCTGTAAGAAAGAGTTACGGTTGATTTCATTGTCCTTCCAGACTTCATGTCATCTATAAAGCGGCAGTAGGTTACCAAGTTAGCACACCAGATATGGCCCTGGAAGGCATATAATTCCGCCGAGTATGCCAGAAATAAATTAGCATAGTTAAAGGACCACTATAGGCACCTAGACCACTTCAGCTTGATGAAGTGATCTGGGTGCCAGGTCCACCTAGGATTAACCCTTTCTGCTGTAAACATAGCAGTTTCATAGAAACTGCTATGTTTACTTTAGGGTTAATCCAGTCTCTAACGGCTGTCTCATTGACAGCTGCTAAAGGCGCTTCCGCGCATGAAAATCCCAGTGAGAAGACGCCAGCGTCCATAGGAAAGCATTGAGAATGCTTTCCTATGAGACTGGCTGAATGGGCGCATGCGCATTCAGCCGATGACGGGGAAAGGAGGAGGAGAGTCTCCAGCGCCGGGCTCCCTCGGTGCTGGAGACTCAAAGGTAAGTGTTTAACCCCTTCCTCTCCATCAAGCCCGGCGGGAGTGGAACCCTGAGGGTGGGGGCACCCGCTGGGCACTATAGTGCCAGGAAAACGAGTATGGTTTCCTGGCACTATAGTGGTCCTTTAAGCAAGAACTTAGTACCCATCGGGGTTCCACATGTTTGGATGTAAAAGGAATCCTTAGAACAGAAATATTTGTTTGTGAGAATTAAAGCGATGCCCTACAAAATGAAATTCATTTGTTCTACTTTAAAATCGGATTTTTAAAAAAAAGTTTAGCTGCTTTAATACCAATGCCATAATACTATACAGGGAGCTGACGTCACACGTAACAACAAGGCAGTTTTTCCTTTCACTACTTGTAAAACGCAAATAGAGTCCCTTAAGTATGCTATTGATTGGAGTAATAAATCTATGTATTCCGAAAACTGTGCAGAGACACAATCTATATATGAAAAATATATATTGAAAATCCCATAGTACACAGAGACATAATCTATCCCAGATATAATGGATCTGCCTGGGATGGTTACTATCTTTATGGATCTTGGGCAGATAATAAAATACTCGGATCTTCCAATTGGAAACTGATAGATATTTGGCTTATTTTTCTTTTAAAACGCCTGTTTCTAGACCTTTACTTATATAATATTCATATTCTTTCATTATCTCTTCTTCAGGAAATTTCTGATATGTGGTGTTACCTGCAAGTAATCTTTCTGCTTCTTTTAGATATTTATCAGTTGATAAAACTACCATTTATTTGTCAGCAGGCTTTATTAACTCCTCTAACCATATTAGATTTATGGGGATAGAACATATCCCACAAACAAACTCCTCTAACCATATTAGATTTATGGGGATAGAAAATATCCCACAAACACAACGAAAAGGTGACTGGGATAGGAGATTGAAACAGCGTGAATCCTACTGGATTTACAAATTAAAAACTCTTTCTCCTCAGGGACTTAACGAGGGCTTCTCCTTCTCTGCCTTTCTATAATCTATACATAGCTCTCTTCTTTAGTTTATGGAAGGTATATTCCTACCCTCTTTTTTAGGAATTGTAAATAGATGAAAATATTTAATTTCAATTATTGGTGGCTAATATCTTCCCCTTTTTCTTTTGCAATTTCTTGAGTCTCATAAACCTTGATCAGAATACTGTCTCCAAAAAGGTGACACATGCTCACTCATTCTCATATTTTGGAGTATTGATTAATCCTTATTTATTAACCTCCTCTTGAATATTGGGTTTCTTAATGAGTTCCCAATTGAGGACATTATTACATTACCTGATATTGACTTGATAGTAACTGTATATACTTAATACCATCCAGTTTATTTAATTTCTTTTTGACTGTTTATTGGATCAACAGTTACATGGACATACCAAGGAATAAAACTATGTTTATCTATTGCTATCACTTAATTGTACAGCCTATGAACATTTTATTTGTTGTATCTTGCTTTACATTTATAATTATTGGGTATTCTAATATTATGATTGGTAGGTGGTTTCCTTTATTAATGCAGTACTCCAGCCTTGGAACTATAGCTGGAGATCGATCGATCGGGCGATCCCACGTGGACTCCAAAATGTAAATAAACCGCCCAGTATCGTTATAGGGAGGGTGCCTATTCCACATGTGTTTGTAGGGCCCCCTCCCCGACAACATTATGAACGGGCTGGCGTTACTATTGGCTGATGCGCAATAGACTCACAAGAGTCCCCCGCCCCCTGTCCACGCCTGGAAGTCCCGCCCCTGATGGAGTCACGAGCGGGTTCTTTGGTGGAGATCGATAACAGACTCGTATAAGTATAATCACCTTACCTAGAGGACATATGAATACTTTTGAATATAAGGGATGCATCCCTATTGCTCCAAAGAAACTGATCTACCTAGAATGAAGGGGCTCTCGCCGATTGGCTGTATGAGAGGTTGGTATTTAGTTACCACCCTTCACTCCATTCATTAGTATGAGCAGTTTCACACCCCAAAAGGGAGGGAGCACTGGTAAGTGTTTAATGGAACTGATCATTTGGTACACCCACTACACAAAGCAGTGGATTCTTAATTGTAATCAAGGGCATATATATTTCACTGCTCCTGACGACGGCGTGTTGATACGCTGAAACACACGTCAAGCTATTTGTTTATTTAATTATTTTTTCACCTTTATTGGTAGCACTATGCACTAGTTTTAGTTAATTTAAGTGTGTTTTGTTTATTCTAGTTGAGGAAGGGACAGAGGTTCAGGTAGGCATTAGTGGTTTATCCACGGTGCCGGGGTATAATAGGGACAACCTTGCTTTATTTTAGCATTGGGCTTTGGGGGATTTCAAGAGGGGTTCTCCTTCTAAATAATTTAATTAACTTCTCCCTCCTCCCCTCCTGTTACCTCTGTATATTCCTGCTCCTCTGTACAGGCAGTTTGGCATTCTTTCAGCTTTTTAGCTGATTTTATATACAACTTTTTCTGTGCCTATATGCCTTCTACTATATGTCTCTAATATAGACATTTAGATTGTCCTCTAGCCTTTACCTTCCTCCTATTGGTTTATTCCATATAGTATTTCCTTTAGGTTTATTAAAGGTAGGGCTTACTTTTTTTAACATGTTATTCTCTGATTGGACTTTTTGTCCGCTTTCTCTCAATTTGTTTATCGCCTAACTAGTAGGTTACTCCCACACAGAGAATAACAAGTGGGTTTTTCTTTGGAGCTATCCATCTGGTCCCTTTATTTATAGGGTTCCTTTTGGACCTGCTCCTTTATTATCTTTATTTCCTTATTTCTGTATTAATTTTAATATCCGTATTATCCTTTAAAGCTCATACAGCCTTTCTTTCATTGTGGATAGGTATTGATATTGAAATATAAGTTGCATTTTCAGTCGAATTTGTTGAAACCACTTGAAGCATCGGTTGTGGTGAGCTATTTTGACAATAAACTCGATTTTAAATGGGGGTTGAATAATTTTGATTAGAACTGTATATAGATAAACTATGGAGCCGTATCTATTTCTGCAGAATTTACACCTGTGATATACATTTGAAGAAGGCTCCGGATTGCACTTTCTAATTCTGCTGCTTTCCCTACTAGAACCCAGTGCCTAATCCGTCTGTGCTTTTGTGAGTGTTATAAATACACATAATGTATATCTCAAAACGAGTTGTGCAATCTGCTTTATTGTCTCTCTGTGTTTTGTTTCTTGTAGACTTTGTAACATCAAACCTAAGAGAAGAATTGTGTGCTCCACCTATTGTTCGTTTACTGATAGTATTGTTAAGGTGTGGGAGAAATGGATCTCACACAGGTGTGTTTGAGCATTTTGGGGTAGTGTATTACAATACTATAAGGTGTGCATTGTATTTTGTATTTAGGGAAAATCTTTAGGAAAAGTCTATAGGATTTGTATCTCCTTTACAAGTTACCAAGAGCTGTGTGTTTCTAATATGAATTCTTTCCATATCTGGTGTGCCAGGGTGAGTCAATAGTCAATGCACAAACATCATGCATAATTAGCAAGTACATCTATTCCATTCCTTTGTATCTACTAACATCTATTTATTAACCTCTGTTTGCAATTCATACAGCTTGCGCTCACCCAGTCAACTTGAAGAACTGGACTGTTCTTATGAACACCCTTTACTTTAGTTTTAAGTACTTCAGGAAATAAATCAATAAAATAAAAAAACAACATACCCTACATGCTATCCTATATTTTAAAGGGACACTATTGGTATTAAAACAACTTTAGCTTAATGAAGCAGTTTTGGTGTATAGATAATGCCCCTGCAGTTTCACTGCTCAATTCTCTGCCGTTTATGAGTTAAATCACTTTTAGTTTTGTACACGCAGCCCTAGCCACACTTCTCCTGACACACAAAGTGTGTATTTTATTTTAAATCATATGTTAACTTAGAAGTTTGTATCTTCTGATCTGTAAATTGAGCTTAAATCACACACATGGTCTAGGATGTCTAACAGGGCAGGACATAAGAAATTATGCCTGTGCGATAAAGGTACCTAGACAGGGCCGGACTGGGGATACAAAGCAGCCCTGGAAAAAAAATTTGTGCCAGCCCCATAAGTCACTGCGCCAGGCCCGGACTGGCCATCGGGCATACCGGGCAAATGCCTGGTGGGGCCAAGGCCGGCAGGGGATCAAAGATCTCCCTCACCAGCCCAGAGGCATGGAGATGTGGCTGCAGGCTGGGGAGGGAGGGAGGCAGGAGAGAGGACAGGCGGAGATCTAAACAGCAGCTCCGCCGGGTCCTCTCGCGGGATTCTGAGCGTTGCCGTGGTTACCGCGGCAACGCTCAGATCTCACAAGAGTGAACTCTAACCCGCAGGTTAGAGTTCACTCTCACCACTGGACCACCAGGGAAGGCAGCATGGCACCCCACCCCCCAGGCAGAACAGATCTCCACCCCCCCTCCAGGATAAAGGTAAGGAGGGATATAATTTTATTAATAAAAATATATACCAATTTAAATAAAAAATACATTTACTCACACACACAGCACAGACAGACACACACAGCACCAGACACAGCACCCCCAGACACGCACATGGCACCCCAGACGCACACGGCACCCACCCAGACAAACACAGCACGCAGACACAGCTTCACCAGACACACAGCACCCCAGACACACAGCACCCAGACACACACAGCACCCCAGTACACACGGCACCCAGACACACACAGCACCCGGCACACACAGCACTCCCAGACACACACGCAGCACTCCTAGACACACAGCACCCAGACACACACAAGCGCGCAGACACACACACAGCACCCCAGACACACACAGCACCCCCAGACACACACAGCACCCCAGACACAGCACCCAAACTTTCGCTGCCCCCCAGACACACACAGCACCCCAGACACACACAGCACCCCCAGACAGACACAGCACCCCAGACACACACAGCACCCCCCAGACAGACACAGCACCCCAAACACACACAGCACCCCAGACCCACACAGCACCCCCAGACCGACACAGCACCCCTAGACCCACACAGCACCCCCAAACACACACAGCACCCCCAGACCCACACAGCACCCCCAGACCGACACAGCACCCCTAGACCCACACAGCACCCCCAAACACACACAGCACCCAAACACACACAGCACCAAGACACACACAGCACCCTCACTCACACACACAGCACACTCCCACACATATACAGCACATACATATATGTGTATATATATATATATATATATATATATATAAAATAACCCTCAGTGAGTTACTGACAAAGAAAATTAGAAACCTAGAATGTGACAGCAGATAAAAACACCCTCACACACAGCACCCCTCTTACATACACACACTGCACCCCTCACACATACAATAAGTCCAAAAAAAAATATATATATATATACACACACACACACACACACACACACACACACACACACTACAGCACCACTACACACATTACGCTCCAGATACACACTAGATCCACTTACCCTATATACACTCTTAATCCTCTACACACACACACACACACACACACACACACACACACACTGGGTCCTTTACACAGTAGATCTCCTACACACACACACACACACTACATTCCTTGTCCAGCAAACACACTACTGCCCGTATGCACACACTCGCTGCATCCCCTATAAAACTATGCCCCCTATACACACACTCTCTACAGCCCCTAGCCACACATATTACACCACAGACACAAATGAAATTGACCTATTTACACTCTACACACACGCAATCCCACAAGCAGGCTCCAAACATATGCACCATGCACTTTCCTGGCCCTTTTGTCCTCTGGTATCCCACTTGTGAAGACACCAGAGACAATTTAAAAGCAAACACAGCGCAAGCATGTTATTACATTTGCTTGCGCTGCGCAGAACAAATTCAGGGCCTTTTTCTAATGCCAGAGCTCTTCAGCAGGGCTCTGGGCATTGAACCATAGTTACATAGCTGAAAAGAGACTTGCGTCCATCAAGTTCAGCCTACCTCAAATTAGTTTTTGCTCTTGATCCAAAAGAAAAAAAACCCAGTTTGAAGCACAATTTTGCAACAAGCTAGGAAAAAAATTCCTTCTTGACCCCAGAATGGCAGTCAGATTTATCCTTGGATCAAGCAGTTATTACCCTACATTGAAAGATTATATCCTTGAATATTCTGTTCTTGCAAGTATGCATCTAGTAGCTGTTTGAACATCTGTATGGACTCTGATAAAACCACTTCTTAAGGCAGAGACCAACATGCTCACTTTGAGAGGGGGCGTGTTTGTCATTAGTGATGACAAAACACACACTCTCTGGCCCCGCCCCCTTCTTAGGGGGCCGCTCTGATTGAAAAATGCCCAGGCCTAATTTTTTTCCCAGTCCGGCCCTGCACTGCGCCATATATTGTCGCGTGTAATATGTAAGGCTATGTCTTGCCAGGACAGATGATTGAGTAATATATTTATTGTTATTAAATAATATCGAGTTTTTTTCTACAAAGACCTGAGAGTGCATCTCTTTCCTTTTTGCTTTACATATCCAGCGTGGGATTGCACCAAGGCAGTCTTTTACTGATTCATTGAAAGGGTGAGTGCCACTATACTTGTGTGTGTGTGTGTATATATATATATATATATATATATATATATATATTGCTTTTTCTAATATAAAATATTGGTCCTTTCAGGGTAAAATGTTTAATTATACAGTAAGCATACTCACATGCAGACACAGGCAATTTCACTGACACACACAAGCTCATTGATACACAGCCTCATAGACAAACAATCTTACTGAAATACATCAGCTCATTGACATAAAAACACAAGCTCACTCACTAGCAAGCACACGCATGCAAGCAAGCTCACTCACTAGCAGACGCACACATACAGCTTAATGTGGTGGTACTGGTGTCTATAGCATGTCCCTACAGGCTTTTCAACATAAACACTGACTTTTCGGAGAAAAGGCAGTGTTTACATTGCTTCAAAGTGACACTGCTAGTGACAGTCACTCAGACGGCCACTAGAGGTGCTTCCTGTGTTAGTGCACCTACATTCAGGGCCTCCACACTCTGTAGGTGCTGAACGTTCCCCATAGAGATACATTAATTCAATGCATCTCTATAAGGAGATGCTGATTGGAGTGGCGTTTTGCAGCCAATCCTATGGCAAAGCATTGGATTGGCTGAGATCATCAAGCTTGATGGTCTCAGCTATAGAGGCAGGGCCAGTCGAGGGGAGACCAGCACGCTGTGTGGGGAAAAAAAAAGGTGAGCAAAAACACTATTTTTAAACACACATTTACACCATGACAGACACAGAAACACACATATACCATGACAGATACACACCCCATGACAGACACACACACACCATGACAGACCATGACACAGACAGACACACACCATGACACAGACACACACACCATGACACAGACACACACCCCATGACGGACAGACACACACACACACCCCATGATGGACAGACAGACACACACACACCCCATGACGGACAAAGACACACACACACCCCATGACGAGCAGACACACACACCCCATGACGGACAGATAGACATACACACACCCCATGACGGACAGATAGACACACACACACACACCCCATGACGGGCAGACAGATAGACATACACACACCCCATGACGGACAGATAGACACACACACACCCCATGATGGACAGACAGACACATACACACCCCATGACGGACAGAAACACACAAACACACCCCATGATGGACAGACAGACACACACACACACCATGATGGACAGACAGACAGACACACACCATACAGACAGACACCATGACACAGACAGACACACACACACCATACATACAGACAGACACCATGACACAGACAGACAGACACACCATACATACAGACAGACAGACAGACACCATGACACAGACAGACAGACACACACACACACCGTACAGATAGACAGACACCATGACACAGACAGACAGACACCATGACACAGACAGACAGACAGACACACACACACACCATACAGACAGACACCATGACACAGACAGACAGACACACACACACCATACAGACATACAGCATGACACAGACACACACACACCATACAGGCAGACACCATGACACAGACAGACAGACACACACACCATACAGACAGACACCATGACACAGACAGACAGACACACACACCATACAGACAGACACACACACACCATACAGACAGACACCATAACACAGACACACACACACACCATACAGACAGACACCATAACACAGACAGACACATCACTAATACCTGCCAGGGGGAGGTCTGCTGGCGGCCGCTGGGGAGGTCTTCTGGGGGCTTCTGGCGGCCGCTGGGGGACTTGTCCTCTGCTCTCCCACCCTCGCGCGCTGCTGAATGAGACCGGTGGCGAATATGACGTCATATGACGGTCTCATTCAGCTGCGCGCTGGGGAGCAGAGCCAGCGCAGCTCCCCCAGCGGCCGCCAGAAGCCCCCAGAAGACCTCCTCAGCGGCCGCCAGCAGACCCAGGTGTCTGCCCGGCCCCCGGTGCCGACGGCCCACCGGGAAATTTCAGTCCAGCCCTGTACCTAGAGTATTCAGGTTAATTTTCAGGAAGTGTTTAGGAAAGATGTAAGTCACCTGCAAGGAGGTGTGACTAGAGATGTATAAACAAAGTGATTTAAACTCCTAAATGGCAGATAATTGATTAGGGAAACTGCACTATATATGTTTTCTCTTTATACTTTTCTTATCTTTATGTAATCTGATGTATAACCCTATTTATCTCAAGTATTAAAGGGTAAACAACTTTGGTTATTTTCCATTCAGTGCTATACTCTTGGTCAGGGCCGCCATCAGGGGGTGACAACCATAACCCATAACCCATCGGGTGGCCCACACACTTAGGCCCTATATCTTCAGGGGCCTGGTGAGCGCTGTGGCCATGGTATAGCACGATCGGGCCCCTTTTTTCTAAAAATCCCCAGTCCGCGCCGACTCCCATCATCCCCAGCCACCCTCCTGCAAAAAAAAAAGGTAAGAGACAGGAGGGTGGCTGGAAAATGAGCTGTGTGTGTGTGTCTGAATGCATGTATGTCTATGTATGTCTATGTATGTCTGTCTGTATGTATGTCTGTGTATGTATGTCTGTGTATGTATGTCTGTATGTGTATGTATGTCTGTGTATGTATGTCTGTATGTGTATGTATGTCTGTATGTATGTATGTCTGTATATGTATGTCTGTATGTATGTATGTGTATGTATGTATGTGTCTGTATGCATGTCCGTATGTCTATGTATGCATGCATGTCTGTGTGTATGCATGTCTGTGTGTGTATGTCTGTGTGTATGTCTGTCTGTCTGTCTGACTGTATGCATGCATGTATGTCTATGTATCTATGTCTGTCTGTATGTATGTATGTATGTATGTATGTGTATGTCTGTATTTATGTATGTATGTATGTCTGTATGCATGCATGTATGTCTATGTATGTCTGTATGTATGTATGTCTGTATGTATGTCTATGTATGTATATATGTATTTCTGTATGTCATTATATATGTATATATGTATGTCTGTATGTCAGTATGAATGTATGTCTGCATACCTTTATGAATGTATTTCTGTGTGTATCGATGTCTGTATGCATGTATGTCTGTCAGTATGTCTGTATACGTGCATGTATGTCAGTCTGAATGTATGTATGGATGTATGTATGCCATTATGAATGTATGTCTGTATGCCACTATGAATGTATGTGTGTATGGATGTCAGTGTCTGTATGTCTGTCAGTATGTCTGTATGTATGAATGTGTGTGTGTATGTATGTATGTCGGTGTCTGTATGTATGTATGTGTCTTTATGTCCTCATGCATGTGTGTCTGTATGTATGTTAGTATGTGTCTGTCACTATGTATGCCTGTGTGTATGTCTCAGTATGTGTGTGTCAGTATGTATGCCTGTATGCGTGTATGTCTGTTTCAGTATGTGTGTCTGTTAGTATGTATCTGTGTCCTTTGTATCAGTGTGTGTGTTTGTGTCTGTGTGTATATTCCTGTGGGTGGTATTTGGAGGCGGACCCAGTGGGCGCTATTTGGAGGTGGGCCCCAGGGGGCCCAGACCCTGAGCTGAGTTAGGGGCCCCAAAATTTCTGGTGGCGGCCCTGCTCTTGGTATAGGTTTTATTACTTGTATCACTATTATTTATTGTTTTAGTGGATAGTAGCATGTTCCCACATGAGTGGAGGTTTATTTGTTCTAGACCTGTATTCCCCAACCCAGTCCTCATGGACCACCAACAGTCCAGGTTTGATAGTATCTCCACTGGAATAAAACAGGGAAATACATAAATCCTGGAATGTTGGTGGGCCATTAGGACTGGGTTGGGGAACACTGTTCTGGATTACACTTTTCAATTTTGCATCTTCCAAAATGGCTGAATCGTGAAATGGGGACAAGGGCACTTGTTTGCCAAAATGTACAGTTGCAAAGTATATTTTTGTATGTTTTTGCCAATAGTGTGAAACAAGCTATTAATCTCTTTCAACAATTTATTTTAAGTAATTTGATAGGAAGCAAATATTGCATTACTTATTTCATATACATTTCAATATAAGTATTAATATAACTATTCATAACAGTAATCTGCATCAATGCGCATTCTTATATTAGCATCCATAGTAATAATTTGTGTACAATTGTAAAACAATAAAACTTTTGCGATTCCTAACATTGTCTAGTAAACACTTGAATGTGACAGACTTTTTTTTTATTTTATTTTTTTACTGTAATTATCTGATGATAAACAGGTTACCAAGGGTTTTCAATACAGGTACTCCTCACTTACCAACCGGGTTCCGTTCCTACGACCCGGTTGTAGAACAAATTAAGAGGAGTTAAGGGATTCCCTGCTCTGGTGTACTTGTCTATGTTCGAGGAAATTTCCCCAAACACAGACGGACGCACCAGAGCAGGGAATCCATCTAATCTATGTTCGGGCAAATTTCCCTAAGCATAGATTAGAAGGATTCCCTTCTCTGGTGCACATGTTTGTGTTCAGGGACATTTTCCCGAACATAGACAAACGCACAAGAGCAGGGAATCCTTCTAATCTATGCTTAGGGAAATTTCCCCGAACATAGATTAGATGGATTCACTGCTCTGTTGTGTTCTAATGCAGCAGAGCAGTGATTCCCTCTAATTCTCACGATGGCTTACACTTACCACACCGCGAGAGAGCTGGTGGTAAGTGCGAGCTTTCGTAAAACAGGTAGGTCACAAAACAGGTACCACCTGTAATATGTGCTATAATAAAAATCTGAAAGATTAAAACATGCCAAGCATAATATAACACAATAAGTGTAAAAAATAAAATAAAAAAAGCTGTTTTGCATGAATTTCCAAAGCATTTTTTATGCAGGCGCGTTTTTAGAAATTTTCAAATTCACAGTTGAAATCTGTCATTCTGCATACTATATACTTCCATTGACGATCCCTATATAAAAAAAAGTAAAGAAAAACATGTTGAATAATTGTGAGGTGTATGCGTAAGAAAATCCATAAATAATATCCTAATATATTCTGTAAAGATGTCCAAAACAGAAGAGTTTCAATTAACAAGTTGGATGCTGCATGTTATTCTACAGTTAAAGGGACACTGTAGTCACCAAAACAACTTTAGCTTAATGAAGCAGTTTTGGTGTATAGATCATGCCTCTGCAGTCTTTCAATTCTCAAATATCTGCCATTTAGGTGTTAAATCACTTTGTTCATGCAGCCCTAGGCACACCTCCTTGCATATGACTTACACAGCCTTCCTAAACAATTCCTGTAAAGAATCATCTAATGTTACTTTATTGAAAATTATGTTTAGTTTAGAATTTCTTATCTCTTGCTCTGTTAATAGCTTGCTAGACCCTGCATGAGCCTCCTGTGTGTCGGATTAAAGTTCAATTTACAGAGTAGTAGTTAACAGGTTTTAAATTGTTACATCTGATTGATAATGAAACCATTTTCTTTCTTGCAGGCTGTGTCAGTCGCATCCAGAGATGGTGTGGCTAGGGCCGCATAACAGAAACAAAAGTGATTTAACTCCAATATGGCAGAGAATTGAGAAGTGAGACTTCAGAGGCATAATCTACCTTTTTCTATCCTAGGTTTTTCTTAACTAAGGTAAAAACTGCTTGTGTGTGTGTTTTCTACATACATATATCTATTAAGTGTGCTCTCACCTAAATTTTATTTTTGTTTTGTAACACAAGTAATATGGCTACATAGTTTTTCAAACAACAAACAATGACTGACAGCTCAAAATAATATTTACATGAAAAACAAACTGTAAAGCAGAGAGATATAGTCCACAGTGGGCATTTTCATATTTACAAAAGCCAAATTTGGTTGGTCGGACTGGATTTGCAGCAGCCACCCGGACTGCATCTGCTAACCAGCCATCTCACTGAAAGGTTAATTTAAAAAACCTATGGGGGTCAATGTAACCC